AACACAGGGGTTATGGATGCTTATCCTCTGTGCAGCTGAAAATCATGTGTAACTTTTGACTCCCCCCAAAACTTAACTACTAATAGCCTACTGTTGAGTGGAATCCTTACCAATAACAATAGTTACTGCCTATATGTGGACCTGCACAGTTCAAACTACTGCTATTCAAGTATATATTTACCAGACATTCAATATTAGGAATTTACTCTGAAGATACACTTCCATCTTTTAAAAAATGGAAGTTTTTTACATTACAAGAGATGCTCTAGACCTTTACTTGTTGGCATGGAAAAATGTTCACTAGTGTTAGGTAAGAAAGGTAGGTTTCACAATAGCCATGTGTAGCCAATTCTATTTTTGAAAGGAAAGTCTACATATACAGGGAGGGTAAAGGGATTTACAATAAATGTTCACAGTAGACTATTGTTATTTTAGGATTCCCTGTTTTCTGAATTTTAATGCTCTGTATTTATTTCTTTTACATTCACAAAATAATTATAGAAATAGCTACAGACACAGAATGGGGATGATGGTGATGTATCTTTGAGAATTCAGGCTAAAGAAAGCTGCTCAAACATCTTAAAGTTCTAGCTTTTCATATCAGCTGAGCTTTTAACTGTAATGGCTTCCCTTTTCCTGGAGCCTGTTTACTCATTGGTTTCTCTACCATTCAGGGCTGTCTCCGTTCCTCTGATAAGGAAATCACACCTGGCTGAGAGATATAAACTCCTATATATAGGAAATGAAATGGGACTTGGGTCTGCTGAGGTGCTGCCAATCAGGGAAAAAGGGCCAGAGGAAGATGAAATCACCTTAGATCTCAAGAAAATGAAGCCTCAGTAAAAACAAAATGCAGTTGTTTCCAGTTATACAAATGCCAAATCAGTTATTCTTTTTTTTTTTAAATATTTAATTTATTTATTTGACAGAGAGAGACACAGCAAGAGAGGGAACACAAGCAGGGGGAGTGGGAGAGGGAGAAGCAGGCTTCCCACGAAGCAGGGAGCCCGACGTGGGCTCGATCCCAGAACCCTGAGATCATGACCTGAGCCGAAGGCAGACGCTTAATGACTGAGCCACCCAGGCTCTCCAGAGAGTCATACTGAAGGAGGATACTTCCAGTAGGCAGATCATAAATAATGAGCAAAATTTTTTTTTTTTTTGATGTAGTGGAGCGAAAATATTCTTAATGGGCAAAATCAGGCTCCAACATCCCATCCTTGTAGTTACATCCTTCTGAACAGGGTTCAGGCACTCACTCCTCCCCTGGGAGAACTTGATGGACGTCTTTGGAAGTGATAGTACTGCCAATGACAAAAACATTCCAACTCCACAAACCCTAGCCCCATATGACCCTGGAAGAAAGGGGAAGGTGGGCCAGATGTGGGAGCTAGGCAGCATATAGAAGGAATTTCTCTGGCATGGTTCAGCTTTCTGAGTCCAGCAAGAATATACAAATATAATAAATTTCAGAAGTTCCTCACAATAAGCTATTACGTGGTTATTAAAAATTAAATTGAGGAATAACCAAAAAATAGAGAAAAATTCAAAATATACTGACAGTGGCTTAAGCAGGTTACTACACATGTACAACTATTCCATTTACCAAAAGGTCATATATATCATTACAGATAGAATGTCATACATCAGCAATAGAAAGAAAAATATCTGGGGGCACCTGGGTGGCTCAGTTGTTAGGCGTCTGCCTTCGGCTCAGGTCATGATCTCAGGGTCCTGGGATCGAGCCCCGCATTGGGCTCTCTGCTCCGCAGAAGCCTGCTTCTCCCTCTCCCACTCCCCCTGCTTGTGTTCCCTCGCTTGCTGTGTCTCTCTCTGTCATTTAATAAATAAACAAAATCTTAAAAAAAAAAAAAGAAAAATATCTGGATTTATACCTCTAAATGTTAACATTATTGATTTCTAGTCTGTGATACTGATTTTTGGTTTAAGTATACTTCCATAACTTATATAAATTTAAATTTACTTCCTATTTTCTTTAGAAGAATCAAGAATGTCTTGATTTTAGATTATTTTTTAAGAAATTTTATTAAAGGGAACTTCTTAAAAAATAGGTGAAAAAAAGTCTGTTATGGGTCCTTAGGTTAGATTTATAGCTCAGCATATTCTTTTTTTTTTTTAATTTTTTTTTTTTTAAGATTTTATTTATTTATTTGAGACAGAATGAGATAGAGAGCATGAGGCGGGGAGGGTCAGAAGGAGAAGCAGACTCCCTGCTGAGCAGGGAGCCTGATGCGGGACTCGATCCCGGGACTCCAGGATCATGACTGGAGCCAAAGGCAGTCGCCTAACCAACTGAGCCACCCAGGCGCCCTATAGCTCAGCATATTCTAAATATAGTTGGCTATGAATGGTTTGTCTTATGTCCCTTCTAACAGTTTGTTTCCAAGCATACCTAGGGGTTTCTGCCTAGAGAAGAGCTAAGAGGCTCAAACCCTGGTCTAGTTGTTTTATGTCTTTTGATGGAAGAATTTATTTCACTTCTGAAATATTAGCCATAATGCCCTGCAACCAGTCAGAGAATCACCTTGCTCCACTAGTTTCCCTTTGGACCCAACATCAAGGGAGTCAAAACTGTAGGGCATAAACTTGACTAGGGAAAATTCACATTCAAGAGTTCCTGTGAATTCACAATAATTTGGACATGCTGCTATAGTTAGGATTCTTTCTTGTCAACTCCCATGGTTTATCATTGCACTTCTCCAGAGGTCTTTGTTATGTTCTACCTCTGACCTACTTTTATTTCCCCTGTTGGATTATGAACAGCATAAAGGTAGCAATTGTATCTTATTCATCTGTGTTTCATCCTAATACACAGGCACAACTTCTGGTACACTGTAGGCATGTCTAATGTCTTATATAGAAATCCCACTTCTGGATACTTAGGAAGAATTAAAAATAAACAAGTATTACAAAGATGTTCACTGAAGAATTCCTGATAATAGGGGCACCTGGGTGGCTCAGTTGGTTGGGTGTCTGCCTTTGGCTCAGGTCATTATCCCAGTGTCCTGGGATTGAGCTTTGAGTTGGACTCTCTACTCTGCAGGGAGCCTGCGTCTCTCTCTCCCCCCTTGCCCCCCCCACTCGTGTGTGTGCTCTCTCTCTCTCAAATGAATAATTTAAAAAAGAATTCTTGATAGTAATTAGTAAAAAAAAAAAAAAGGTTTCAGAATAAACAATGTGTTAAATAAGATATGATAGACCACACTATAATCACTATGATTTTGGCCTCAATTTAATTGTCAAAGAGAGATACTCATCAGGATACTCATTAGTGAAATACAGCAGAAGGTATAGAGTTGGAAAATAGTAGAATCTGGTAGTTAAATAAAGATTGAGGACTTTGGAACTCAACTTCTAGTTTCATCTCTCAGGAACTCTGTGACATTTCACAACTTATTTCAGCCCTTGATGCCTCACTTGCCTAAGCAGTTTACTGAGAATAGTAATACCTCCCTCACAGGGTTCTCATGAGGATTAAATTAGACAATACATGTCCTTATAATAGTGTATTAGAGTTCTCCAGAGAAACAGAAACAACAGGATGTATGTGTGTGTCTGTGTGTGTGTATTGAGTTAAGAAAGAGATTTTAAGGAATTGGCTCATAAGATTGTAGAAGCCTGTTAAGTCTGAAATCTATAGGTCAGGTCAGCAGGTTGGACACCCAGCTGCCGTTTGAGTCCAAAAGCTGCCTGCTGGCAGAGTTCCTTTCCACTCTGGGAGAGAGCAGTCTTTAGTCTATCAAGGCCTTCAACAAATTTATTAGATCTCTCACAAGATCTCCCAATCATACTCAATTAAAACTCACATATATCAACCTCAACGTCACAATGTTTAATCACCTGCTCTTGCACTGTCATACAATTCATTCAGAGACTTGGGTACAGTCACAAACCACTTTCCGATACTTTGTATATTTCACTCAACACCTTGGACAATATCAAATGCAAACCAACTCATACACGTGACCAAGAATCAGACCCAGAAACACAACCACTTGTTCTCACAGATAAATTTCTTCATATGACACTTTGAGATAGGGTTTCTGTACTTTTAGCAAGGTTAAAAATCTTTAGATTTGCCTCTTCTGGCAGATAATCTGTACTAGTTTCCACCCCTCTCAGTCAATTCTGGTTTCTCGCACACGCTTAGACCCCACAATGTCGCTTCACGTCTCTTGCACGCATACAGGTAAGGCTCAGGATCAGCTCTGCCTGGCCCAGGTATCTGTTTCATCCATCAGGGTCCATCAGGGAGACCAGCCTCCTCCCTTCTCGCGACGGACACCTACCACAGCCAACCGCTCCTGCTAGTCATACGTAGACCCAACACAAACAGCCTCCCACAAAACTTTACAAACTCACTGCCCGCATAGTCACGCCACCTACAAGCATGCGTAATCAATCACAGGTCTCAAACGGCTCCTCACTCCTAAGCCACGTTATATTACACCACTTCACAATCACTGCGCGTGGCCCCACACGGGTATACATCACGACCACTATTTCAAACGGTCTCAGAAACGTCTCACAAACTAATTTCCTCATTCAGGACACACTCAGTCGGTGTAACATATACATCCTCTCCCTCTCGATCAAACTCACCCTCGGCCACTCGCACCTTCGGCCTCAGAAAACACATCTCCCACAGCCACCTTACAGACGAAGGCCGGATCCCTCCGCATCGGACAACAATTCCCTCAAACCACAGCACGTGCGCGTCCACCTTGAGAGGCAGGGACAGCCACGGTGCCAGGCTTGGGGGAATCCGCCCTCAGAGGAATCCGAGCACCCGGATTCAGACCCAATATTCGGGTCTGAGCCTTCGAAAGGGAGAGGTGGTAGCGTCACTCCAGGCCCGATGAAACTGCGCAGGTGCATCCGGAAACCCGGCAGAAGATTTACCACTTTCAACTCCCCGGCGCTTTCCTTTTGGACTACGTTTCCCAGAGGACACAGCGGTTCAAAGCTATTTCCGGTAGGAACGTTGGCTGACTGGTCGGCCGCAGAGGCAGGTGAGGGCTTCTTACTCGACCAGAGGAGTGTGCAAGGCTAGGCGTGCGGCCTCACCTGGAATGCAAATCAGAATTTGGACCAGAGCCCTTCCTGAGGATGCTGAAGGTAAGGACTCCTGGAACTCCAGGCCTGGGCAAGAGGAGTGTCTGGAGTGTTAGGCCTCCAAAGTGCAGGAGCTGCTCTAGGAGGATAGATTGGGTTGTTGTGAGTGCTTGAGGGAAACTATGAGTTTGTTTTCGGACTAAGGATATTTGGCTGTTAGTTGTGAGAGCGACTGGATTCGGATCGTGCTTTTGTGACAGTGTAATTGTCTGCGTGGCCATTTGTGTGAATGGAGTTTGTATGTGGTTGTGACCATGATTGCAGGTGGCTATTTGTGTGAGCCTCAGATACTTGCATGAAAGAAAAAAAGCACAATTACGCAAAGCGTTACACCGAGGCTCACGTAATCAGGCAGTTAGGGAGACATTCCAGTATTCAGCTGTAGATTCATACAACACAAAGCCAAAAAGACATAATACAACTCACGTTTATCATCATCCCACTACCCCAGACACAGACACATATATATAGTAAAACAAAAACAACCACTCCCCAACCACAAACTGCCCTTATGCCTACTTAGCCGTCATCCCCAACAGTTACCTGAAGAGCTCAAACACATCACCCAGTGTCATAGAATCATAGTTACCATGGTCACAAACAATGTGTACTCCACATCACACACAAGGTCACACAAAGTTTGAGCTTCAAGAAAGGCCTGGTTGGGGGCACCTGGCTGGCTCAGTCAGTAGAGCATGGGATTCTTTTTTGTTTTTGTTTTTTTGTTAAAGATTTTTTTAGCATGGGATTCTTGATCTTGGGGTTGTGAGTTCAGCTCCACATTGGGTTTAGAGATTACTTAGGAAAGGCCTGGTGTCTCGTAGTTCTTATCTACCTCACTACTTCTGCCATTCCCCTTAGAAACACCTAGGGTAGGAGGAAAGAATGGCACTGTTGCACTTCCAAAATCAGTGTCTGAGATGATTAGGTGCTGCTACTTACCAAAATGTTCATATAAACTTTTAAAATTCTTTTGTTATATTACTTTATTTAAAGTAAAAGTTACCTATAATTCTTCAACCACTCTAAACATTTTTTAAAAGATTTATTTATTTATTTATTTGACAGAGAGAAAGAAAGGGAGCATGTGAGCAGGGAGAGGAACGGAGAGGGACAAGCCACCCCACACGGGGTTTGATCCCACTGAGATCATGACCTGAGCCGAAACCAAGAGTGGGATGAATAACCGCCTGAGCCACCCAGGCGCCCCATCTTTGAACATTTTATTACAAGTGCTTTCACCCTCCTTATATGCATACATATATACTTATGTATATGTGTGTTTTCCCTGAAAGATTAGACCACAATACACATTGTTTTGTAATTCTTTTTTTTTTTTTTTAAGATTTTATTTATTTATTTGAGAGAGAGAGAATGAGAGAGAGCAAGCACATGAAAGGGGGGAGGGTCAGAGGGAGAAGCAGACTCCCTGCCGAGCAGGGAGCCCGATGCGGGACTCGATCCAGGGACTCCAGGATCATGACCTGAGCTGAAGGCAGTCGCCCCATTGTTTTGTAATTCTTTATTACAGGATATTTAGGTCTTTTGTATGTATTCAGGAATAAATTTCAGAAGATTTTCCAGGATGCTTCCAGGTGTGCTTTCTCACCAGTACTTCGAATTAAAGTCTCAAGTATTTATTTCGGTTTGGAATTTTTTTTTAATAGAGAGAGAGTGCATGTCCATGTGCGTGCGGAGGTGGGGGGACAGGGAGAGAGAGAGAATCTTAAGTAGGTTACAGGCTCAGTGCAGAGCCTGACGCAGGCTGGATCTCGTGACCTGAGCTGAAATCAAGAGTCTATCGCTTAACTGACTGTGCCACCCAGGCGCCTCTGGCCTGGAAATTTTTGTTTTGTTTATTTCTTCTTTTTCGTCTGTGTTCCATCAGTCTCTATTTTTAAAATTCCTGTGAGTCATGCATTAGGGCTTTTGGGTTGTTTTCTATTTCTCTAATCTTTTTGTAATGTCCATTTCCTTTTCTTTTTCCTCTTAATTCACTGAAGATCTTGTCCGGATAGGTCTGAACAGGTTGGTTGTGTTCATTTTATCATAGGGTTGGGACACTGGTCCCAGTCTTTCTGGGACCTGGGCCCAGTCTTTCTTGACTCCATTCTACTATACCTGGCTTCCCTTCTTGTTTTGAGTAAGGTTGGGATTTGTCCAATTTCCCTCTAATCTTTCATGTATGTGTGTATGGAGATTGGGCATAGGAGACGTGCAAGGGGAAGAAAAATGTCATTCTGTATTAGCAAGTTGGTAGCTAAGAAGCAAAATCATCTCATGTCTTTTTTTTAAACCCCTCTCATCCAGCAATATTTTCTTTGGACTGTGAGTTTCTTCTAAAGTGGAACTAAGAAGAGGACTAATACATTGAATTCTAAAAAAAAAACCATGGCCCATGTAAGTTGATTTTTTTGTTCCTAATGTCCTTTTTTTTCTATAGTCCTATGAATATTTGCATTCTTTATCCTGATATTGTTGCCTGATTGAATATCATACAATAACCTACTAGTGAGTAAGTGTTAGTTTCAAAACTTCAGGGTCTTCCTCCTCTCCTTTCTAACCAGTGTTCTTATAATCATTCAATAAATAATTTTTCATTTCTCATATGCTCAGACTTCTGCCAGGAGAAGGAGAGAACAGAAATAGTATTCTTTTGAAAAGGGAAATACTGATGTTTCTCTTGTCAGAACTTTGGTTTGATGAGGTGATTTAACAAATATTACTTCTAGGTAACTACAAATAAATCAGTGGGGGAAAAAATCGGACACATACAAATCATCCCTTGTGAAACTTAACTTGTAGTGACAGAGACAAAAAATAAATTTATATAATACCAGACTTAAGATTTAAGACCCACAGATATATATGCACGTATATATATAAACAAATGAACAAAACAATTACAAGATAAAACTAAGAGCAAAAAATAAATATATGTACTATCAATAAATATATATGAATTTTAACTCAGAAAAAGGCTTTTAGATTGAGTCTCAAAGAAAAACTCAACTCTCTGTATTTAAGAGACTCTGAGACACTTACGTGACTTAGAAAGTTTAATGAAAGGATGGATAAATTATAACAAACAAATGGAAACTAAAAACACCAAAATTCAGGACACATCATACCACTAAACATGGCAAAGAAGGACACTATATAATTCTGAGGTATACATTTCAAAATGAAGATAACATAGTTATAAATACACATGTATCAAATATCACATTTCCGTGAGCAGATAGGAAAGCAGATAGAAGAAGAAAGCAGTAGAGGACACTAATTAATCCTTTCAGTCAAAGTCAGGCCAAGTGGACAAATTTAGTAAGGATGAAACACTCTATCAAATCTCCCTAATTGATATATATTCAGTTCTGTATCCTCATAATAATAATTATACATTCTTTTCAAGTGTTCATAGATCATTCAGGAAAAATAACAAAATATTAGGCTACAATTAAGTCCAAGTAAGTAGAAATGATAAACCATATCCTCTGAACACAATGAAATACAGCAAGGATTTAATAACAAAATCAGAAAAATAAAGTTACTTTTACCAACAATTTGTAAAATCTGTCTCAATAATTGCTCCTGGATCAAAGAAGAAATATAATCTAAAAGTAAAGACTTTCTGGTACTCTGATAGCACTATATTTTGGAACCCATGGGATTTTGTTAAAGTAAGACTCTAAGGGCAGAGTTACAGTTTTAATGCTTCTAACAAAAATAATGAAAATACATAAGTTGAAAGGAAGTAGAAGGAAATATGGAAGGAATTTATAAAGATAAAAATTGTATGTGTTAGGGCGCCTGGGTGGCTCAGTCGGTTGGGCGACTGCCTTCGGCTCAGGTCATGATCCTGGAGTCCCGGGATCGAGTCCCGCATCGGGCTCCCTGCTCGGCGGGGGGTCTG